GCTGAAGCGGCAGGGTCCCCTGGACTCCAACGCAGGGCGCGTCATGAGCACTGGGGCTGCCCTGGGTGACTTCACAGGAGCTGGTGGGTTTGAAGGCAGAGATCAGTTTGGCCCAGAGTGTGACTCCAGCACTGAATATCAACTCACCCCAGTGTCTGATGGAAAACACTCCACTTAGTCACCCGCCCCTTGCGCAAACAAGCCCTGGAAAGTATTCGGCATGTGTGCTCACCCTCCAGTGCCATGAGCACTGGGGCTGCCCTGGGTGACTTCACAGGAGCTGGTGGGTTTGAAGGCAGAGATCAGTTTGGCCCAGAGTGTGACTCCAGCACTGAATATCAACTCACCCCAGTGTCTGATGGAAAACACTCCACTTAGTCACCCGCCCCTTGCGCAAACAAGCCCTGGAAAGTATTCGGCATGTGTGCTCACCCTCCAGTGCGGAGTCACTCCTCAGTCTGTGTGTTCTCATATTTATTCACCCTTGTTTCAATGAGCCCAGCTGTTGGGTTTCCCTCTGCAGCCTTGGACAGGGGCCATGTTATCTGGCCAATCTTAATTCCCTTGCGCTCCTCAGTCCTGCCTCTGTAAACAGTGCGGTACTTCCTTCCCACGTACACCCTGAGCTCGGTTTCCAAAGCATGCTCCAGCACCCCACACCAGCAGGCCTCTAAGCCCGGGCCCATGGGATGTAAAAAGTGGCAGGGGAGGAGGATCTGGTGGAACCAGAGGAAGGGGGAGGGGCAAGGTCCAGATCGCCGAACGGGCGAAAACACCAGTTGATGAGGGGCGAGATGGATTTGCCCCGGGAAGGTGCCCATGTACTGCAGGGACGGTGCCTCAGGATCCCACGGTAGAGCACCACAGTCACCAAACGGGGTCTGGCTGGGATCAGGAAACTGTCCCGCCTCCCCACTCCTTCCCCAAGTGCCGGGCACGCTTCCCTGTGCTGACCTGAATCCGGAGGCTGCCGATTCCTCTCGATCTTCCGGATGTCGTCCAGGGTGACCCCGTCTTCGCTGAAGAGCCCGCCGTGCATGATCTGCCAGGGAGCACAGCGCAGGTGAGGGCTGGGGAGAAGGGCTTGTGCAGGGCAGGCCAGAGCAATGAACCGGCCCTAAGCCTCCACACCCCCTACTAGGAACAGCCGGGAAGGGGAGCTGGAGCTGTACGACTGAGGGGCACTGAGCAGGAGTGCCCGGCCAGTTCCCTGGGAGGTAACGGTGGGACTCAGCTAGATCTAAGCCATGGAGGCGGCCAGGGTTACACACAGGGACTCGGGCGACTCTCCACACCCCCCGCCCCGGTGCTGTGCTCAGCTCTCACCAACACTTTGCCATTGATACACTGCGCCAGGGGCAGCCACTCAAAGACCTCGCTGAACAGTGCAAACATCTGGGCTGTGTATTTGGCTTTCACCTCCCCCTCGAACCCGTAGATCTGGTTCATGTTGTCCGTCTCGTGATTCCCTGGGGGCCAAAGAGACGAGGAAATTAAAAAGGAGGCGGCTGACGGGAGACCGGCTGAAGAGGGGAAAGCCGCCCTGCTCCAGCTGACGGCCCAGCTGTTGCCCCTTCCCCAGGGCGGGGGGGCAGTGGGGTCTGAGTCACTCACTGCAGCACGGACCCCAGAACCGGGGTGAAAGGGTCAACGTGGCTGATCCACAGGGGTCTGTAGGTAGTGGCCATATCTCCGGTCACTGCCGGGGCTCGCGGGGGCTGTTCTCAGGCACGCACATGGGCTGCGCCCGGCCAGCAGACCCAGCCCGCATTCACAAGGGGAGAGGGGTGTTCCAAGGCCAGACTCCAGCAGCGCAGGCCAGAGATCACCCGCCAAACAGGGCAGCTTAGCCATGCACTCTCAGCCACTGGCTGGACGGCCCTTGGGGTTCATGTTGTCGTCGAAGCTCAGGAGAGGGGCACCTCTTCAGCCCTGCACTGCCCGTCTCCCTCGCCTGAGCGAAATTCATGCAGTGGCCGTGAAATCTGGCCTCCCTCACGCCAGTACCTGAGTGCCTCCTAGCCCTGAACACAGTTATCCTCACAGCCCTGCCACGGGGCAAGGCAGGACCAGTGTCGCCTCTCGCAGGACAGGCCCCAAAAGATCGGGGGACTTGCCCAAACACACACAGAGAGTCTGTGGCAGGCTGGGCCTCGAACCCAGGTCTACCAGCTCCCTAGACTTGTGCCCTAAACACTGGGCCGTTCTCCTTTCCTCACAGCAGACTCTGCCAAGTCCCATCTGGCTTTCCTGAGTTCATAGTGATCAGCCAGGACTGGAACACAGGACCTACTGCAGCCAGGGGCAACTTAGGAAGAGCGCCGCGTGAGCAGCCTTCTTCATCCCAACGGGCCGCAAGATTGTGGGAACCAAGGTGGCCTCCCAGAACGGGGCATTTTGCTAATGGCGCCAGCATACCTAGAATTTGTGGGGGCTGCTGAGAGAACCATTTTGATTGGACACAGAGGGAGCTCATCCAATCAGCACGCACCTCACAGCCCGGGACCCCGGTGTTACGCGTGTGTCACGTTAGTAACACCAGCAGGGAAAAAACGACGCGGACAGAAACCAGCGGCATCTGGCAGCCTTGCGCGTGGGCAACAGGACACAAAATGTCTCGCAGGCCGCACACAGGGCCCCGGTGGGAGGCCCGTGGCCCTCGGGGGACAGGTCGCCCGCCGCTGCCCTCTGGGGAGCAACTCCAGAGTGCCCCCGCCGGTCAGCTGAAAGCAAAAGTGAAGGAGCGACTCCAGCACAATCGGTCAGCACCCAGCCGGGAGACAAATATTTAACCCAGGGCTTGTCAGCCAGGCAAGGGCCTGACAGGAGCCCCCGGTGCAGCTGGGGCGAGACATTCCCACCAGAAACATGGCGCTAGTTTGGAAGGGAGTCGGCCCTGGCCCCAGATCCTGGGGGATTCTCCAGCAGTGGCTTTTTTAGAATCAAGCAGGATTGTCTTTGAAGGGATCAGCTCGGGCCCCACAGGGGTTGCTCCGGGCAGCCCTCTGGCCCATGCCCTGCAGCAGTGGTCACCAACCAGTCGATCGGGATCTCCCGGGAGATCTTGGAGCCTCGGACAGGGGAACCTGACCGGTTTGGCCAAGAGGCTGTCGAGAGCCTGCACTTCTGCAGCTCTTCCCCCCACTGCTCTGCATCTCCTACCCTTTGCCTTGCAGCTGCCTCCGCTCCCCGCCCGGAGCCTCCTGCTTGCTGTGCAGAACAGGGAAGGGACGGGGGGCACTGATGTCACGGTGCCCCCCTCCCGCCCTGTATCCTAGCTCCACAGAACGGATGTGGGGGGCACAGGGCTTGGGATGGAGGGTGTTTGCTGGCTGCTTTTGGGAGCGGTGCAGGGCCAGGGCAGGGGGGAGACTGCCTCAGCCCCACTGCCCACCCCCTAGGAGCCACCTGAGGTCAGCAGTGCCCAGCTGGAGGCAGAATCCCAAATCCCTGCCCCACTCATGAACCCCCTCCTGCACCCCAAGTCCCTGCGCTAGCTCTGAGCACCCTTGCATCCAAATGCCCTTCCAGAGCCTGCACCTAGAACCCCTCCAGCACCCCAACTGCCTGCCCCAAGCTCAGCTCAGAGCCCCTCCCACACTCCGAATCCCTTAATCCAAGACCAGAGCCTGCAGCCCAACCCTTTGCCCCAGACTGGTGAAAGTGAGGGAGGGAGGGAGGGAGGGAGGGAGGATGGAGTGAGCAGGGGTGGGGCCTTGGAGAAGGGGCACAAGGGAGGTGGGGACAAGGGTATTTGGGTTTAAGGTGGATCTTGGATTGCACAAAAAATGATCTTGTGCTTGAAGCCCCACACGAGGGCTCAGCGCTGCAGCAGGGAGCCATCTCTCCCCCAACCCCACCTCAGCCAGGCACTCCTCCCAGTCGGCCCAGCAGAGCCGCCCAGGGAAGCCTGAGCCACAGCCCCCGGCCCACCCTGAACCCCCCAGTTCTGTACCCCCAGCCCATAGCTCCTCCCCAAACCTGGAGCCCTTTCCTGCTCCCCAAAGCCCTCAGCGCCAGCCCCACTCCAGACACTGCACCCCCAGCCAGAGGCCTCACACTCCTGCACCCCAACTCTCTGCCACAGCCCTGAGCCTCCTCCCACACTCAGAGCCCCTTGGCCCCACAACACAACTTTTGTTGTGCGCACCAATAGGAAGGTGACGTGTGTGTCAGCCCCTCCACACTGGTGCACATAAGAAAATTCATTCCGCACGGGGCAGGAAAAAGTTAGAGGGACCACCCCAGGCCCTGGAGGAACTTGTCATCGGCCTCCCGGCTGCGCCTCTCACAGGCGTCTTCCAGCGGCCAGGCTGGCTGGCGAAGCGCTGCTCCTCAAGCAAGCGTTTAGCTGGGAGGGTGTGCGTGGCAGCACCTGTGTCTTGCTCCTGGCAGGGAAGTGGTGAATATGGCTGCTCAGCGGTGACAGTGACAGCGGGGCCACTGGACAGGGGGTGTCAGTTTGTGGGTTTAACACTTTCCCCAGGCTGGGCAAGCAGATTTTGCCATTGAGCTGGTGGATTTTGGGGCCCGTTTGGCTGGGCGGAGTGAGCTTTACAGGAGGGTGCACTCGGGTCTTTGCAGCTGGAACCAGGCGATGCAGCGGCTCGGAGACCGACCCAGCCCCAGACCAACAGAGAGGGCCCAAGATAGCTGGGAAAGCGGAGGGAAGGCGCGAACGCCCGAACATCCAGGAAACGCCGCATTTCCACGAGGAGTCCCAAGAGCCTCTGCCACAGGAAAATCCCAGAGACAGAAGGTGGATCTGGAGAGGCCAGCTCTGCTCAGCAGGGGAACTCCAGGCCTGGGTCTCTGCCCCAGACCAGCCAGCGGAGGGGGTAGCTGGGGAGTTCTCGTCCCAACTGGAGTATAACGCGGGGCTCTCCGGTGGCTTCTGCCTCCCTCCCCCCCCCCGAGGTGGGGGAGTAAGTGGAAATGATCTGGATATAGCAGCTTAAAACCGAACAGCGTTAGTATCACCTCCACCGAGAAGGAGCCGCGGTCGACGAAATCCCCATTGAATATCTGCCGAGGGGGTTGGCTCAGGAAAAAGGGCGCGTGCACACACACTTCTGACCTAAACCTAGGTCTCCAGCCCCCAGCCAGCAGCCCTGGACCCCAAGCCAGTCTGCCTTCGCTCCCTTTCCGCACAAGAGCCCCCTGCCCAGTCCCACTCAAAGGCCTGACCGATGGTGGGTGACACCCCCTCCCCGCCCCCTGAAAGCATCTGACACCCCGAGGACAACCCCAGCACCCCCAAGATGTAGCTTTCTCTCAGTCCCAGACCCTCCGAATCAGGCCTCCTGCTCAGAGAGTTCCCAGCTGCCCCCCCCCCCCTTTCCTGCCTGCTTCGGGGGACTCTGGCTTCCCTGGTTCAGACGGGATCACTAGCCAGGAAGTGCAGCAGGAAGCTCCCCCGTGGCAGGGAGGGGCAGGTACCGGTGGGTCTGACCCACATCGAAGACACAGCAGAAAAGGCTCAAGCCAGGACAGCCCCTCTGCTCTCAGGTTCGATCAAGGAAGGACCGTACCACGCATGGTACAAAGGGGGAAACTGAGGCACAGGGAGGGGCAACAATATGGTCCAGCACTGGAACCTAGGCCTGTCTCCTCCTGTCCTTACAGCGCGCCTCCGTCCATGCACATCCCATGCTGGCTGCAAGGCAGAACCCACCAAGGATACATAGGGGTTCGTTTCAGACGGCAGCCCATTTAGTTCAAATATATTCAGCAAGTCGTAATACTGGCCGTGGGTGTCCCCGCAAATGGTGATCTTCTCGGTCTGGGAGGAGAGAGGGGAGACAGGAGGAAAGCGAAGCCCTAGTCAGACAGAGCGCCTCTCCTGGCAGGATCCCACGGTACTGGGCCAACGCTAGGCACAGAAGTGTCAGAAAGTTGGCCTAGCTGGTGGGCAAGTGAGGAGAGGAGGGGCTACTCGGCTCCGCACACCCTGCCAGGGTCCTTCGAAAGAGGAGAAAGCTGGCAGCCTTGGGGACAATTTACCAAGGGGAGTGGGGAGCTCTCTATCACCAGCACGTTGAAAACAGGAGAGGGGGGTTTCCCACAGGAGCCGTGGGGCATGCCGGGCGCCAGACTAGACAGTCCCAGTGGTCCTTTCTGGCCTTGGACTCAATGAAGTGCCACCTGGGATGCAAGGCTTTGTCCTCCCAGTCTGGGCCTTTCCCTTCCTAACCTTATTTCTTCTCTTTCCTCTCTCCCTCCTTTCTCTTTGTCTAGTACAACACAGGCTTAGCCGGCCAAGACTGAGCATTTTGCGACCCTGCTGTAAGCCTGGACCAGAAAGAGGCAGCTCAAAGCAAGACTGTGCACAGCCTGATGTTATGAGTCTGTCAGGTCTCAGAACTTCTGGCTCCATCTTTCTCCGGCAACGAGGCTGCAAGTGAAAAATCCGCCCCAGCGACAGAAGGTGCCTTTTCTGTTTTTCCTGTTCTCTGCTCTTCCCTCTTGCGGCTCTTTGTCGCTTCCTCTTCTCTTCTAACAGCAGCAGCAGCAGCTGGGCAAGAGCATCTCAGCTACCTGTGTCTCATTTTCCCCAGAACTACCAACCCTAATCCCATCTACAAGACAGTCAAAACGGGCAGTTTCTCAAATCTGTCCCGCTAAAGGGAACGGGACCAGGGAAAGCCTGACTTCGTACTTTGCATTTCAAGTGCTCACCCCGGTTCCTTATTTTCTGTCTCTTTAATAAAAGATTGAAATGATAGGATATGACAGAGGTCTAATTAAATCACAACAGGTATGGAGAAAGCAGACAAGGAAAAGGTATTTACTTGCTCCCAGAACGTAAGAACAAGAGGTCACCCAATGAAATGAATAGGCAGCAGGTTTAAAACAAACAAAGTTTTTCCTCACACAGCGCACAGTCAACCTGTGGAACTCCTTGCCAAAGGAGGTTGTGAAGACCAGGATTTTAACAGGCTTCAAGAAAAAACTAGATATAGTCACGGAGGTGAGGCCCATCAAAGGCTATTAGCCAGGCAGGGTGGGAAAGGTGTCCCTAGCCTCTGTCCAAGGCTGGGAACGGGCGATAAAAGAGGGATCGCTTGATGATTCCCTGTTCTGTTCACTCCCTCTGGGGCATCTGGCCCTGGCCACTGTGGGAAGACAGGACACTGGGCCAGAGGGACCTTGGTCTGAGCCAGTCTGGCCGTTAGGGTATTTAGCGATGCGTTTGGTGAGCACTGCTGGGGTCCCCACACGTTTAATGTCAGTTGCAGGGATGGGTTAATACTTTTGGCTCACTGGGCCCATATGCTCCATGTAAATGAACCCATCAGCAGTGGAATGCAAACCTCCGGGGCTGGACGGGCCCCAGATGCGGTTGCACCACTGCACGCCCTCAGGACACAAAGGTTACATCTACACTGCACACTTTTCAAAATTGCTCGTAATGGTGCAGTGTAGATACACCCAAATGGAACACTGGGTCCAGGGGGACTGGCAGGAATTTAGGGAGCCAAGGTGGGCGAGATGGTAGCTTTTATTGGGCCACCTCACTCCTCCAGGATCCTGGCCCTATATGGCCCCAATGACACTGCAGCCAGGAATTTAGGGAGGCGGGCTGGGATGGCACACGCCCAGATCTGCCCTGGACATCCACGAGAACAAGCCTTACTGTGGTGAGGAGTCTCGTGGGTTCCCTCATCACCATGCAGGAGAAAGAGGGAAGCGCTTAGCTAGAGGGGAGAACAACGCTTATTTCAAACCACCCGCCCCTTTGTGGGCTCTGGCCCTGGTTCCTACAGCCATGGGGGGGGG